CTTCAACCAGTGTTATCAGCTGCTCCTCTGCCCTCAAAATCATTTCTGTGGGCCAGTGTGGTGGGGTGGCACAGTAGTAGTAATAAAAGGCTCAGTGATGCTGAACACACAGGGAAAGTCCTGAGTTTCCATCCCAAGGTCTCATTGTACGTATGAGGTGTGTCATCCAGGCTGGCTCAGGCTGGGGGTGGATCATGGCAAGAAGACCCTGCTGGGTTTCTCTCTCCCTCCCACCCTTCCTCCTTCTCCCCGCCTCTTTCTCTCTCACGGAAAAAATAAATAAACTTAAATCATTTTTGTCTAGAGGTTTCAGTCTGTCCATTCCTGCCCCCCGTCAAAGGTCTAGTTAGTAGCTTGGAAGGGGAAGCAGGGCTAGCCCAGGTTACCTTCATCATCTCTTTGGACAGCTCCCGCATGGTGGCCTGGATTTCTGGGATCTTCACAAGACTCTGCATGGCCTTCATCACTTCTGTGCTCTTCTGTAGGGAGCCAGCCACTCGCAGAACAGCTGAAAGAGAAAGGAGAGGGTATAGTCAGGATTGTACAGAATGGGATAAAGACAGAGTGAGCCAAATTACAAGCCATTCCGGTAAAAGGGAGCAGCAGTAGGTTGACTCCTGAAGTTACTTATGTACCCTGAGAACGCATCACTGTGCTAGCTGATCAAGACTGCCTTTTCTAAAGTGTGTGCTGCCTGGGCTTCTAGAGGTGCAAATTCTCTAAGCCTGCACACCAGTCCCACCAGTCTTGCAGAAACCTTTGGAGACAGAAGCCAGCTTCGAGTGACTGTGATACCCAGGACAAGTCACAAATGAGAGGAGCAGCCCTAGACCGTGTAAGGGTCCTACTCAAAAATAGGCGGCTTTGGATGACCCAAGTAGAGCTTTCCATATTCTTCTCTATGAGGATCCTGTCACCAGTCCTCAGGAAAATGAAAGAAATCCTGATAAAATGTAGCAAGTACGTACATGTCAACACACACACACACACACACACACACACACATATGCATCCAGGTGATACAGTTACAGTTCCTTGCTAAACCTTCTGTAGTCTGAGATCACACAAATATTACTATCTTCTTTATAAGAAATTGTGGTGGTAGCAGGTGATCATTTTTCTTTCTTAATATATTTAATATGTCAAAATAAAGAGTTAACAACTTTCCAAAACTGTTCCAGAATTTCAAGAGACCTGTGTCTGAGAACTGCTATACATCGAGCTATTCACAGGCTTCTTCAGTACTGCAGTGCCTGGCTTAACCAGGAGGCATTACAAGTTTACCTTAGCAGAATCCAGACCCTAGGAAGAAAAGAAAGAAAGAAAGAGAGAGAGAGAGAGAGAGAGAGAGAAAGAAAGAAAGAAAGAAAGAAAGAAAAGAAGGAAAGAAAGAAAGAAAGAAAAAAGAAGAAAGAAAAAAAAGAAAGAAAAAAGAAAGAAAAAAAAAGAAAGAAAAAAAAGAAAGAAAGAAAGAAAGAAAGAAAGAAAGAAAGAAAGAAAAAGAAAGAAAGAAAGAAAGAAAGAAAATGAAAGGAAAGCCAAGCCAAAGTTGCAAGAAAATATCTGCAAAAGACATATCAATAAAAAAAAAACTGTTATTCAAAATATACCAAAAACAAAGCAAACAGAATGCAGAAACTTAAAATTCAATGGGAAAACAAACAGCCTGAATAAAAAGTGGGCAAGAGACCTGAACAGACACCTCACCCCAAAGAGAAAACAGATGGTAAATGTGCTATGAAAGATGTTCAACATCATGTGTTACAGGGATTTGCAAATTAAAACAGCAATGAGGCACCACTACGCTCGTATTAGAGTGGCCAGAACCTACAACACTGACGACACCAAATGCTGGTGAGGATGTGGAGCAACAGGAACTCACGTTCATTACTGGATGGAATGCAAAATGGTACAGCACTTTGGAAAACAGTTTGTAAGTTTCTTACAAAACTATACATATGCTGGGAACCAGCAGTTAGCATAATGGCTATGTCACTGGACTCCCACATAGTCGACCGTGGTTCACGTCCCGGACCCAGTGGCTTAAAACTCACGCCAGGCGTGTGTGCATGCGTGCCCAAGATCCCGAGAGGAGAATGGAGGAGAAGGGATTGCCCCCTGGGGGGTGATTTCTCGCTTTCTGTCTCTATGTCTCTCTTTGTCTGTCTGGCGAGCGCACGCGCCCTATAGCAAAAACCTCTTAAAAAAAAAAAACTATACATATGCTTACCACAAGATTCAGCAATCAAGCTCCTTGGTATTTATCCAAAATAATTAAAAACTTATGTCCACACAAAAATCTGTACACAGATGTTTACAGGAGTTAAATTCATAACTGTCAAAATTTGGAAGTAACCAAGAAGTCTTTCAGTTGGGGAACAACAGAGTAATATTCAGTGCTAAAAATAAATGAGCTATCATTCCATGAAAAGACACAGAGGCAACTAAAATGCTATTACCAAGTGAAAGAAGCCAGGCTGAAATGGCTACTTATTCTATGATTCCAACTATATAACATTCTGGAAAAGGCAAAATTATGGTAGCTGGGAGTAAAGGAGGAAAGAGGACTGAATAAGCAAAGCACAACATAAATGGTAGGTACATCATACACGTGTCCAAACCTGTAGAAGGTATACACCGCCAAAGTAACTCTGCTGGTTATGATGATGTATGAACCTAAGTTCATCTACTGTAACGAATATACCGCTCTGGTATAAGATCTCAGTAGTAGAGGGGGCTGTGCATATGTGGGGCAGGAGGAATATGGGGACTCTCTGTATTGTCTGCTCAATTTTTGTTGTGAACCTAAAATTGCTCTAAAAAATAAGTTTATCAAAAAATAAAAACAGGGGCCAGCAAGTGGTATAGAGGTGAAGGTGGCTGGATCCCACATGGCCAATTGTGCAGTTTGAGTCCCAGACCCGGCAGCTTGAAAAGCACGCAGGGCGTGTGTGTGTGTGTGTGTGTGTGTGTGTGTGTATGTGTATGCCCAAAATCCTGAGAGAAGAATGGAGGAGAGGGGATTGCACCGTGGCTACCCCTCCAAGGGGGTGCTTTCTCATTTTCTCTCTCTCTCTCTCTCTCTCTCAGGTGAGGGCATGTGCCCTATAGCAAAATAAACAAACAACTAAATCTTTAAGATAAAAATCCAGAAATGGGAGGGCCCTCTGGATTCAGGACTGCCATTTTGTATGAAGAAACTGGAAGGGC